GGACGAGGGATCTGATTTTATTTTATTTTAAAGAAGGCTTCAAATCAATTATTTTTTATCTCAAGCCCATACAAATAAGTTTGTTAACATGTATAGATCATAATTTGCCTAATTTGGTCTTTTATATTTCACAATTAAGATGGTTAAAGTGTATGTAAGTATACTTGTACTCATGGGCGTCGCAGCCATTATATGAGGGTGGGACAAGTCCCCCCCACTTTTTCAAATGGATAGTTTAGACCCCCCCACTTTTACTATGCGGAAAGTCCGTGAATCGGTCTATCCACTCGCCGCACTTTGTAGAGCGCTGTGTCAGTGCTTCACTATCAAATGAAATCCATTCCACTTGCTTATTGAGAGAATGCCCAAATCAATGAAACTCCGTACCATGTTTTCACTGCTACTTTGTACCAAGGCAGATTCTCACATAGCGCGCGCATGTTCAAGGAGTGTTGTCATAGTTGGACAGCTCAGATCTGTTGTATGAAGCGATGCCGGTAGCGGAGGTAAGGCACACACACCAAATGTTCAGGAAATGGTTAATACAGCGAAAATCAAAGCTGACGATCTCTTGGTTTGATATGTTTTCTCCCCCAGACAACATGGACATAAGAACATTTTTTTCAAAGAAGAGGAAAATAAGTCATCAGCTGGTAGCAGTTAATCAGTTAACAGTGATGGCGGCGTCTCACTTCTGGAGAGGAGTTTCGTCTTTATGTCATGATAGAGAAATACAAATACTGAATAGTTTAGATGAGAAAAAGGCATCGAAATGCCAGGTTACTAGTATTTATCATGTAAACAGGGAACATGAATAACCCGATCTCTCTGTGCTCATGTAAACACCATATCCCCAATATGATCATAACCAGGATAATACTCATAAACGGCTTACTGATGTCCATGTAGAGACGCAGTCAGTGTGTTTTACTGGAGCCTCAGTTCGATAAGAGATTATTTTCTGAGTTCTTTAACTTAGGTACTCTCTCTCAAAATGGTAATGTGCATTATGTTTTAATTATACTTCTTATCATTCAGAAGCTTTTTGTGTGTGTTTATATTTTACTGAGTGCTTATAGGCTATTTCCATCCCAGTATTCAGTTAACTATTTATTTTCTGTGCACATTACATAGAATATTCTACCTACTGCTTGGGACTTTGAGTCTTCAAAATGTCCAATGTCACAGACTGCGACTTACTTTAGAGTCAGTTGTATTTACATTCAGTATGACTTGTTATGATTCAATGTGAAAGAATATACTGCTCAATAAATAATTATCACTTCACCACCTCTCTTGACATCTAGGCACTTGAGAGTGAGTCAGAGGCAGAATACAGGGACAGTGGAGAGAGGTCCATTGCTGAGGTGAGTGATGAAAGGGAAATGACAGTTGAGAGTAAATTGTGATGTGGACTCTCATCCCAGGATTTTAAGGAAATCAGTGGGGATATTGAACAGGAAACATTTCAGTCAAGGGGCATCATATGACCAATATAGACAGAAGAGCAACATTTATTTGAACATTTAAGTCAATGATACCATTCCTAGGTGAACTTAACATCTGTATGGAGTCAGATCAGTCTCAATATTAATAAATGCTCACAGAAGGATTCACAAATGTATTTTGCGATTTATATATAAATGACTCTCCACAACAATATCTCTCAATGCACTCACAAATAATTATTGTTGTATATAAATGTACAAAAAATGGGCATTTAAACTGCTTTTTATTAATTCAAAGACGGCTCTGAATTAATAATCAAATATGTTTCCTTTCTTTACTACCGGATGAAATTACAAAATGTACCCATCATTTTCCTCATGCTAGTATAGCCACATAAAGGTATCAAACCACCTGTTAAAATGCACCAGAATACAGGAAATCTATATTTTTTTTCGCCCCCACACCCCCCGTTAAAAATGCCCCCCCCACATTCAGGATGCTTCCTACGCCCATGCTTGTACTTATATTCGTTTTGATTAAATAAAAAATGTAGAATCATATAGCCATGTGTCTATCATTTATTGTTGTCAACATAGCATCATGTACAACTCATTAAGGTCCAATCAGCAATGTGTTAACATAATGAACTTACATAGGGTGACTTGAGGATTTTTACTGTTATTATTAGTCAGGGTATTAAATTGCTTGTCAATTAGTTATTATGGAGACGGGTGGGTTGCAAACGTTTGTTCTGAATTTAGATTTTTTAAAGAAGAGCTGGCAGAGCTCTATACTTACGATACACTACCAATGAGTTTCAGTGTTACTTCTCCTAAACTAACTGTGTCTTCCTACGTGCATGTATCTCTTGTGCACTTTGACTGTCAGCTAAACACCTTCCACCATCAAGGACTAGAGACCGTAGATGTCGTTTAATCGCTTTTAATCATGAAGAAAGGGTGAAACTAGGAAATAAACACAATACAAGAAGTGCATAAATATGCGGAAGAATATTTACACACATTATACATTGAATCAACACCAAAGAACATACACACACGTGGCTGTAGCACAAAATTATGGCTTTTTCGTTGCTTTTGTGGCAGACTACAGCGCCACTTACAGGCCTGGCATATGTACTACAGCGTCTCCAGCGCTTTCGAGCGGCAATGGCCGGCCGTGGCCCAACCCCACATTCCCCTGATAGGTGGAGAGTTTGCTCAATAGCCGTAGCGCCACTTTCCTGACGTCAGTAAAGTGTTCAAATCTGTATCAGTTTTTATCAGATCCGTTGCAGCCCCTTTTTTAGAGATTTGGGTATGGAGGAAAATAGAGATTTGTGTCTGTTTTTGTGTTGTGTTTTCTGGAACACCGGGGAAACATATTCATGTATAAAAGACGTACAAAAGTGCATTTTGCATGATAGGTCCCCTTAAGTTAATCTGTTTTTCCTTTCTCTTTTCAAGAGTGCTTCAGAGGATGGCTGAATTCACAACACGTGGAGAAGACCGAGAGGGGGAAGTTGGCCGGTTACTACATTTCACAAAAAATACAGCACCTTGTGAAAAGCGGAAAGAAACAGTTGAAGGAAATTGCTTACAAATATGAAGTAATGGGTGTTTTGAAAATGTTTTCAAATGTGTGTTAATGTTCATTGTGTGTTATAAATTATTTTCTTGCTTCTAATCATTTGATGTATGAGTATTTATTTACAGACAATACATTCTATACATTCTGGTAACTTTCTGGTAAGGTAGGTGCTCTGATCTGAAATGATAGATGTTCATTGAGCTACTGCAATTGGGTGAGAGTGTTTCATCATCATATATGACCAGCTTAACCATCAAGTAATCCCAGCTAAAGTTCTACTCAAGATCATACCAGTCTGACTAGCTAATGGTGACCAGCTAGAACACTGTGACCACCAGCTTTTACCAGCTAAACCAGCTATCCCAACCAGCTAATGGTGACCAGCTAGAACACTGTGACCAAACCATCTATCCTGAGCAGCTAAAGTGTCCAAAACCCCTCTAAACCAGCAAACTAATCCAGCCTAATATTGACCAGCCAGACCAGCCTTGTTGGTCTAAACAAGGATGGGAGGGCAGACAGTACGTGGTATTTTATACTGTATATATAACCTATTTATTGTTAAATCATGCCCAAACACAAGTGTTCTTAATGCACAAGAGAAACAAGGTGTTCAGACAAACAAACAAAAATATAGTATAAAACAGCAGAAAATATTCATGATACCCTAGAATTCTGTTTACTGTAAGTACAGTAAAAGTACTTAGTTATAATTCAGTACACAAATGACATCATCCATCTCTTAAGAGAGCTAAAGGTGACCTGTGCAGCAACACATTTCAAGAAGTATCTGTCAATACTAAGAGCCGCTAGATTGTGCTGCTGTATTGAAATATGTATGCAAGGAGAATAAAAACATACCATGTGGTCCAGCTGGAGTTTCATCTGCCTCCTGATCCCTGCCTCTGTCCCTCTTTCTGACACTACAAAACACAGTTTCATAACAAAGTTTCATATGCTGAAGCCGCAGAACAGGTATCACAAAGCATGACAAGGAAATCCCAAGTAGCAGCAAGTATATTCTCTTCAAAAGATTTTCCCAAACTCCCACAGGCAAAGAAAAGCTCCACAATATGTTCACATAAATGTGTCATAGGCATTGATTGTTAATAAACACCATTTTGTGGCCTTCAATCTTGGCCTTGTAATCTTCAGGTTCCATGAAATCTTTTCTAGAGAGATAAAAAAATATGGATGAATAAATAAATGTTAACTGGTAAAATAAGATATAAATGAGCCAGCAAAAATCTTGCCTAGGGCAGCAAATTGCTCAGAACCGGCTCTGGTGTCATCCCCATAGTACCCCCCATTTGAAACATGTTCCCACGGCTATGAACAACAATACGCCCAAGCTGCCCCTCCTTAAAAAAAAAAAGTACAGCTTGTTCTTGTTCTATCAGATGTTTAAGGATTCCATATGTTTTTGCACGTTCCTGTTTAGATTCTGCCTCGTGTTTGTTCTCATTGGGCCTTATGTAAGAACATGTTCTATTCCAATGCTTAATTGCTCTAGGTCGGATTTCCTACTAACGTAATAGACACTTTGGACATTTATTAATCCTAGTAGATTTTGAGTCATCACTAGGCAAGGCGAGGCAAGTTTATTTATATAGCATCTTTCAACACAAGGCAATTCAAAGTGATGCCTGATCACAGAAGATTTAAAAAGGTTCACTGTGAAACACACACACACACACACACACACACACACACACACACACTTCAGTCAGTTGTAACTATTGGTAGACTGATCATTATCATTATGGCAAACATTTGATTCATAGATTCGAGTGAACAAATATTTTGATGCACTTTTACAGTTGAATAAACTGAGTGCTGCTTTCACTCCCATCAGTCAAAAATGTTGTCCCCTATCAATACTGATGACAGATTTATTCTGAGTTACTCCACTTCTTATTCTCCTTTTCTCTCTTTTACTTTAACTGCCATGATTCTGCTATAAAGATTAATAAGTTATTTCTGTATCCAGGTATGAAGGAAGTCGTCTATCTTTGTGATAAGTACAATACTTCTCTGGAAACACAAGCCGCCAAACGGATGTTTAAACAGGCAAAGATACCATTCAGGTGAGACACACACACACACACACACACACACCCACACACACACACACACACACACACACACACACACACACCCACACACACACACACACATCCTTGTCTTTATTGCATGTTGGGGTACCTGACCAGACCATCCCTTTTGGGATCCACCCTTTCTGAAGTTTGTACTGGGTTTTGGGAATGGGAATGCATTGAATAAACAAGGAAGACCCTATTCCACTAATGCCCGTATCATACCCTGATCATTGAGTTTGTTGTTTTTTTTTCCTCTGTGTGTTTTTGCAGGGAGTTCCTCCCCAAGGAGACTGAGGTTGTCCTTAAACTCAAGAGCGTCTGAATGAGGCGAGGAATGAAGAGGATGACTTGATAAGATTAAAACTTGTTTCATCAAATGCGTTGGTTGTGTTCTACTTTATATATATATTCTTTTTAAACCCATTGACATTTTTTAAATGGGCATCTGCTTAACTGCCAAGCAAAATATGAAAACGTTAAGCGAAGCTCTAACTGCATCTGCCATAGGGCCTTACAGCAGGCCAATGAGTAAGACCTGGTGACCTAAATAGTCCAATTGAGCTAAAAAAAATCTTAATTTTGATGGAGCTTGTTGAGGATAAATTACCAAGGCCTCAGCCGTCTACTCCTATAGTCAGCGTTCAGGCATGCAACCTCAGTCGCTCCTTTCTCTCTTTCTAATAATTGTAACACTTTTTATTTTATTTTATATGTTTTATTTCCTGGTATCTAAAGGCTTAAAACATGTCTAATCCCTGGATCATAATCATAGGCTACATATGTGTGATCATCATACATCATTGTTTGCCAAAGTTACCTGCTATGAAGATGAACAGTTTAAAATCTTTGTCTTCATAACATTCTGTGTCTCCACACCTTCATTCCTTTAACCGTGTCAGCTCTCAGTTGAAGTCAATAAAACATTTGGACGGCATGATCTAATGTCCACTGTGTTCATTATTTAAATTGCATTTATGATGTAATAGATAAAAGGGTTTCTTTAATTAAATGACAAATGCATACAGCTTGTCATTCAGGACATCAGACAACACATTCAAATCACTTTTTGATGGAAGTTTTTGGTTAAAGTATAAGTCAACAGATTGTGTTGTGTAGTGTTAGAAATTAAAATCAATATTCAATGACGTAATTTAGTTTAAACGCACAGTAAGCTTTGTCGTAGCAGCTTTAAAATCAGCTGGGGTCTAGAGAAAATAACCAGTTAGGTGACAAACGTACAGCAACACAATGTTCGTTTTGAAAGCAATAAGGATCTTTATATTTGCAAGTATGTACTGTTCTGAGTGAAACAGGCTCTCTTTATGGGAGGACATCAAAGCAGATTTGCAATACAACAACATTCTGGGAGGCCAGCTGATACCCCCTCTGGCACTATGCAAAACCATCTCACACTACAAGACAGTGAGATATACACAGACACTATAAGCAAAACCATCTCACCCTACAAGACAGTGAGATATACACAGACACAGTATGCAAAACCTCACCCCCTAAACGCGTCTGTTGATCACTCATACATTTAAGGTTCACTCTCAGAGAGATGACCTAATCAGACAATGAGAAAGAGGAGGGAAGTTCCCTCCTTACATCACCGCCCACCATTGATGAGGAGGAGTTTTTGCACGTTCCTGTTTAGATTCTGCCTCGTGTTTGTTCTCATTGGGCCTTATACAACATGTTCTATTCCAATGCTTAATTTCTATAGGTCGGATTTCCCACTAGCGTAATAGACACTTTGGACATTTATTAATCCTAGTAGATTTTGAGTCATCACTAGGCAAGGCCAGGCAAGTTTATTTATATAGCATCTTTCAACACAAGGCAATTCAAAGTGATGTCTGATCACACAAGATTTAAAAAGGTTCACTGTGAAACACACACACACACACACACACACACACACACACACACACACACACACACACACACACACACACACACACACACACACACACACACACACACACCCCATTTGAAACATGTTCCAACAGCTATGAACAACAATACGCCCATGCTGCCCTTCCTTAAAAAAAAGTACAGCTTGTTCTTGTTCTATTTCTGTTTAATGATTCAACATGTTTTACACTTTCCTGCTTAGATTCTGCCTCGTGTTTGATCTCATTGGGCCTTGGGCAATAATTTTGGAAAGTCTCCAAAAAATGTTGGCCTTGTGATCAAAGAAAAAAAATTCAACTTTATATAATTATGTTGTCTCTTTAAGTGTTTGTCTGTAGCGCGAAGACTATCTGGAATGGCCAGAGTACTATATATAGTCTGTCAACTCAGAGGATTAAGGACCTTTGTTTAATAGATACTTTTTTTATTGGCAAAAATAAGTGCAAGAAAATAAGCCCCGTAGGCGAGGCTCTAAACATTAATTTAAAGGGCGGCAACTAGGAAGAACCTATCCTGTGTTGACGTCATTTGAGGTGGAGCTTTCTTCCACCGCTAACTTAAAGTTCAACTAACTGTCAGCAGCGTACAGTCCAGAGAGAGGCACAGACTGTGAGGGGTCCAGCATCAGAACACTATGGCAGGAAAACCAGCTCAACCGAATGAGTAAGTAGTTCAAACTGTTACAATTCTCTTGAAAAGAGAAAGGAAAAACAGATTAACTTTTAGCTTTGTGTTATGACGAAAAAGAAAAATGTATCAAATTTGGTTTTGAACATTCACTGTGATTGGGTCTATTATCCACGCAATACACCGTATTTAATTTTTTTCTTAATTTACATTATTTAATTTCATATTCTGTTCTTGTAAATATTATATTCTATTATATTACAAGTATATAAACTTCAACAATACTTCCTGCCATATCAATCTTATCAATTTCATTATCACACAATTTAACAAACATCTCCCAATTTGTTTTAGAAAAATTCCATCTCATTATACCATCTAGCTCAACCACATTACTTACATCAAATTTGATTATAATCGGAAAATGATCATTCCCAATATTGTTATTTGCCAATACTTCCCAACTACCACCAGAAGTGAATTCACTTGATACCAGAGTTAGATCTATCGCAGACTCTATCGCAGTAACAACTGCAGCCTGTTCCACTGGTGTGTGTAGGAGTAGTAGACTGTTTAACTATATTTTGATGAATGCCAAAATCAGAAAGGAATTTAGATTTCACATGGAAAGTCTCCAAAACATGTTCGTCTTGTGATTAAAGAGAAGAAAAATCAACTTTACATAATTTCTGTCTTCTTGTGTGTTTGTCTGTAGCAATGGGGCTAGAAAAGATTTCATGGAACCTGAAGATTACTTCATGGCTGCAGCCGTTCTGTCAGCAAGGCAGAGCAGAGACCCAAGCACACAGGTTTGTGTGTGTGTGTGTGTGTGTGTGTGCGTGTGTGTGTGTGCGTGTGCGTGTGTGTGTGTGTGTGTGTGTGTGTGTGTGTGTGTGCGTGTGTGTGTGTGTGTGTGTGTGTGTGTGTGTGTGTGTGTGTGTGTGTGTGTGTGTGTGTGTGTGTGTGTGTGTGTGTGTGTGTGTGTGTGTGTGTGTGGGTGTGTGTGTTTCACAGTGAACCTTTTTAAATCTTGTGTGATCAGGCATCTAATAATTATACGAATAATAATGTTACCCATTGCCCATTACCCATGAGTATTATGATAATGGTGATGTGGAAAATACTTATTTTAACAATATTCCACTATAATCTTTACTAATAAGTGATCGACATGTCAAATAAAATATTAATGATACAGTTGTTGATATTTATTTCTGTGGAACAATTGTTTTATTATTCTGGAAGTAAAAATTGAATCTATTCGATCAATTATTAATAAATATATGTAGTACGTGAAGCCCTATCGCCGAAGTAGTACTTAAAAGAAGTTCAGCTAGACTAAACTCTGGAACCTCACCCCCTTTGCAGGTTGGGGCGTGTATTGTGAACCAGGACAAAAAGGTAGTTGGCGTTGGTTACAATAAGATGCCAAACGGCTGTGAAGATCACATGCCGTGGTCCCGCTCTAAAGGTGAAGATGCTGCCGCCGCTGTTTGGGCTAATGGCGGTGACCTCACCGTTGCTACTGCTGCCAGGGTTGCTGCTGCTGCTGCTGAAACTAAGCTGGACACTAAATACATTTATGGTGAGGACGCACACACACTTCATCCTTTTTGCTTAACTTTTAGATTTTATTTTTTTCTGAAATCAAACAGTTTGTTGGAAAATCCAAAATGTAGAATAGTTTTACCATTAAAATTCCTTATGATAAAAATGTTTACGAGAAATGTATATTTTTTAAATATGTGATGGTGGTGAGGAATGATAATATTATAGTTGGATTAATACAGAGGATTTATCTTTTGTTGTTGTTGCAAGTATAGAAGGGATGGATAGAATGACACAATAGAGACGTTAAGCTTTTATTTTCATTGTTTCATTGGGCAGATGTCCTACCAAATGTACAATATTATGAATGTCACCAGGGGTGTCGATGGTGTGTTAGGAGAGGTCTATTCCTTCGGTGATAAAGAAATCACACTATCATTGGAGCATATGTATATCATGCATGTCTGATTGTTTATAACTTGTTTGTTATACAACCTAAATACATTTCAGACAAGGCACTTGCATGCCCTCTATTGATGGGTCCCGTCTCCCCCTCTCCCCCTCTCCCCCGCAGTGTGCCACGCAGTGCTCAACGCCATCATGAACAAGAACAGCGCTGATGTGAAGGGCTGCTCCATCTATGTGACCCTGTTCCCCTCCAACGAGTGTGCCAAGCTGATCATCCAGGCCGGTGAGTCCCTGCAGCATGCACACACACACACACGCACACACACGCACACACACACACACACACACACAAGGCAAGGCAAGGCAAGGCAAGTTTATTTATATAGCACCTTTCAACACAAGGTAATTCTAAGTGCTTTACAAAAATGGAAGACATTTTAAAAATGGCATTTAAAATCAGTCATTAAAAAGGAAAGATAATAAAATAAACATTAAAAGAAAAAATACATGGATAAAAGTTAAAAGTTACAGTGCAGTTTAAGATGTGAATAGTTCAATTAAAAGCAGCGGCAAAAAGAAAAGTCTTCAGCCTGGATTTAAAAGTAGTAAGAGTTGCAGCGGACCTGCAGGTTTCTGGGAGTTTGTTCCAGATATTCGGAGCATAATAACTGAATGCTGCTTTACCATGTTTAGTTCTGACTCTGGGGACAGAAAGCTGACCAGTCCCTGAAGACCTGAGGGTTCTGGATGGTTCATAATTTAGCAGTAGGTCAGACATGTATTTTGGGCCTAAACCATTCAAAGCTTTATAAACCAGCAACAATATTTTGAAATCTATTCTTTGACACACAGGAAGCCAGTGTAAAGACTTCAGAACAGGAGTGATGTGATCCACTTTCTTAGTGTTAGTGAGGACTCGAGCAGCGGCGTTCTGAATTAGCTGCAGCTTTCTAATAGATTTTTTAGTGAGGCCTGTAAAGACACCATTGCAGTAGTCGAGTCTACTGAAGATAAAAGCATGGACAAGTTTTTCCAAATCCTGCTGTGACATTAGTCCTTTAATCCTAGATATGTTCTTTAGGTGATAGTAGGCTGATTTAGTAACTGTTTTAATGTGACTGTTGAAACTCAGGTCAGAGTCCATGACTACACCTAGATTTCTGGCTTTATCTGTTGTTTTGAACATTGCAGACTGAAGCTCAGCGCTAACTTTTATACGTTCTGCCTTGGCTCCAAAAACCATTACCTCAGTTTTATCTTTGTTTAATTGGAGAAAGTTCTGACACATCCAGTCATTGATTTGTTCAATGCACTTACTCAGTGTTTGAATTGGAGCATAATCTCCTGGTGAAATTGTTACGTAAATTTGTGTGTCATCCGCATAGCTATGGTAACTTATTTTGTTGTTTTTCATTATCTGAGCCAGTGGTAGCATGT